ATTATTTGTTGAAACTGTACTTCCGATTTGATTTGAAACTGTCTCATTGCTATCTGTTTATCAATAAAACTTTGAAAAAAAAAGAAAAACTATTAAAAGGCAATATAGGTTAAAAAAAAAAAAGAAAGTTACATAATCGAAAAAAAAAAGAAAGACAAAAAATAAAAATTAAGAAAGCTGCTTATTTGGCATTTTATAAAACAACAACATACCACTCTGACACTCTAAGTTCTTTTATTAGAATGATCAAAAGCAATGGAATCTAGGTTCATGTTTGTATGTAAGTGACAGTTATGTACAATTCTTCTCCCAAATACATTTGCTCATCTATTGACTTGACATTCTGTTGTTTGCTTTAACATTATAGTTTTGTTTACGTGGAAGCTGTAATGATGTGACCCATTATGTCAATAAAACACTGTGTAACTCAGTTGTTAAATGCCAAGGACATGGGGTATGTAACAGTCATTTTACATTAAATTATCATTATTTTACTACAGGTGAATAACATTTTCCAAATTACAATTTCTTTCATTTATAATAGTTTTTTTTTCTTTTTAATAGGAATAGAAGGTTGTCACACCCATTATGTTCTCTTGCTGTTTTGTTTTTGTTTTTGTTTTTTTTCTGGTAATGAGGATCAAACACAAGCCCTTGCGTTTGCCAGGCAATCACTTATTCCACTGAGCTGTCTCCCTAGCACCAGTTTCTTTCTCTCTTTCTTTCTTTCTTTCTTTCTTTCTTTCTTTCTTTCTTTCTTTCTTTCTTTCTTTCTTTTTCTTCTTTTCTTTCATTCTTTCTTCTTTCTTTCTTTCTTTTTAATACAAAATAGTAATAAAAAACAGTATTAGAAACAATACAAAATTTCACTAAACAAACTAATAGGAGTTCAACAATAGTTGATGTATTTCATGATGTTATCTTCAAATTAGTTGTTTAAAATCCTACACATTTAGAAGCCCAAGATGACAGGTATTCAAGCGTGGTTTTTGGATTATACATTGCTGTCCTCGATGATCTGTTGCTCAGATTGCAGATATCAGCATGCAGAGTTAGTCAAGGTGAAAATTCCACACATTAATTGCTATTTTCAAAAAACTGATAGAAATTTTTAGTACAATTACCTCAGCCCTCCTGTATATATACTTGCATGATTCTTCCCCTGCCTTTTTTTCCTCTTTCTCTCATCTTTGTTGTTTAATCTTTAACTTCAATTTCTTTTCTTTTTACTATATCTGTTAATATCTTTCAGGTTTTATTTCTTCTTTCAGGTTCTTACACTAGGGAGATAGTACCATTTCTAATGTCAGATCAATTATTAATATACTCTCTTTAAAATAAATTTATAAGAAAGCTTAAAAAAGACTAGAGCAAAAATTCAAGGTTTCTTCACAGCAAGTGGTAATATGTAGTCATATGTCCAATCTTATATAATACATCTGTTAATCTGAGCAACAGATTTGACATAAAAATAGATAATATATCAACCATTGTTAATCAGCTATTCTTGTTTTGAAAATCTGTAACATATGTATTGTTGTATGTTACTGTTCCTGTCTTTTTTCTGATTTTTTTGTTCTTGCTTTTATTTTTACTTTTCAAAATAAAATTAAATCAAATTTAAAAATTAGTTGTTTAGTTCCAGATATAAATGTAAAAAAATAGTTTTAAAAAGGTTGTAAGAAATTTAAAAGAACAAAAATAAAAAATGTTAAGCTTTTTCTTTTGCTAATTGATAAAAAGTTCTGTAGTTTTAAGAGGAATCTTCTTATACAAGGAACCATCTTTCTTTGTTTATGACTTGTGCTCTCAACAATATTTTGGCCCTCTTAAGATCATGAGGAACAACATATTCACCATTGTTATCCTCCTAATTGTTTTGTTATGAAATTTTTGGTTTTGTTAGGAGATGTTGGTACCGGGAATCAAACTTAGGACCTTGTGGTTGCCAGGCAGCAGCTTAGGCCACTGAACTGTATTCCTGACCCTTTGGGGTTTTTTATGGAAGAGTGATTTTCATATTTTCTTGTTAACATCTACTCATATTACATTAAAATTAAAAAGGTAAAGTCGAGGCAGGGATATTGCTCAGAAGCTCAAGCACCTGCCTGGCAAGCTAAAGGTCCTCAGTTCAATTCCCAGTACCAAAAAATATATATAGTTATCTGATATGGAATTTTTTTGAAAATTATGGCTAAGTAATTAAAATAATTTTATTATTCTTATATGTATATATTACTTACATATAGAATCAAATTGTTATATACACTTTGAACTTAAGCTTCCACCTTTATACAAAAATACAATTTACATCTTATTACAATATTAAAAGTAAAGATTCTTAAAATGAATTTATACACATTACATATAATTGAATGTATATGTACATATATTTATAAATATTCATAAATTTAATATGCTTATTTTTAAACATGTCTTATATTGTAATAATTTGGAGGAAATAGCATTTCTTTTCCATTCAGATCTGTCAAATCCCTCAGTGACTTCAGTTTATCTCCTTGTAGTGATTTCTCATACTGTGTTTGAAAAGCCATGGTCTTGAAGACAATGAAAATGTTTTTATGCTTTTAAAATTTTTATTTTTAATTTTTTAATTGTACAAACTTCTAGTATACAGTGCGATAATTTGATAGATGTATACAATGGATATATAATGATGAAATCAGAATAATTAATATTACATCACTTTAAACACTTTTCTTTGTGTTGCATGCCTTTGAACTCCTGTCATTTGTGACAATATATATAGAGATACAAGACATTATGTTAAGTGAACTAATCCAGGCATAAAAAGACAAGTGCTATGTGTTCTCAATCATATGTAAAAGTTAAGACACTCATTTCACAGTATTAGAGAACATTATAGTGTTCACTAGATTCCAGGAAAGACAGAGGGCAAGACTAATGGGAGATCAAATAACAAGTACCAAACTACAGTTAGACAGGAAGAATGTTTTAATGTTCTACAGGATAGGGGATGACTACAGCTCACAACTTAATGCATATTTTGTAAGTAACTCAAAACATAATATTAACTTCTAATTTAAATCTCAGAAATGGTGATGTAACAGACATTAAGGTACATCCACTTGTAAAGATTTATCTTATATCTGAAATTATTATTAAAAACATGTGATATGCTTGGGGCTCTGGAGATAGCTCAGTAGAATAAGCGCTTGCCTGGCAAGCCCAAGGGCCTGAGTTCAATCCCCAGTTCCACCAAAAAAAAAAAAAGTGATATGCTTGTACCATGACAATTTTCAAAAGTATTATATTGTCTTCAAGAAATACTATGGCAGTTTTTATTCCCACCTCTCATATCTAAAAAATGTACATTTCCTCATATTGTGGACAGAGTAGTTAACCAGCCTGTTATCTCTGCAACATGCCAAGTTCACTAACAATTTCTATTTAGTTGATAAGTAATGATGCATTTCTGAATTAGGCATAGTCATATGTATCACATTTCTACTTGTCCACAATTGAGCTGAAGAAATTCTGTAAATTGTGGATTTTTTTCCAATCATAAACTTTTGTGGCTACTATCTTCTACCATACAGACAATTCATATTTTATAAACAAATTCAGGAAAAAAGGTGATCTGACTAAAGGGCTTGCACGAATATGTTTCCTCTGAATAACATACATTTCCTGCGACTTCCAGTTTCTTTCCTTTTTCTTTTTCAAAATAAGTATATTTTACTTTCTTATGTAACTTTTGTGTAAGGATTTTCTCAATTTTTTTATTCTCCTATTGACTTTTCTTTCATTTCATCCACAAGTCACATTTTAAAAATATCTTCTGACCTTACATATAAATTTATATATATATATATATATGATGCAAAAGCTTGATTATGTTTTTGTTGCTTTTTTATTTTATATAAAACTGGTATCTCAACTCTGCTTTTTAAAAAATATAACCCAACTCATAAACGTTTTAAATGTCACTATTCATGTATAAAATTTATATGCTTCTCTAACATGATATTTAAATTGTATCAAGAATATCATCTACTTTAATGTACTAATAATTAACACTAGCACTTAAAATATGCTTAAAATTTTCATTGAAAATAAAATGTTTTTATTTTATTTGGTCTTGGTTTTAGGTTTGCAATAATTTTCATAACTGCCATTGTGATGCTGGTTATTCTCCCCCACACTGTGACCCAACACCATCATCACCTGGAGGAAGCATCGATGATGGGTTTTGGTATGGAACAGGTAAGTCTCTCTAGATCCATGTGTTCCAAAGAAAGAATGACTTGCGAGAATGGCTAAGGTTCATACCCACATGCTAAATATTTCTAGGCAACAATTTCCATTTGAAACTAATTAGGTATATGGATAACTTACTGTGCTAGCTTCTTATCATGCCAACAAATACCTGAGATAGTCATCTTATATAAAGAAACAGTTTATTTTCATTCACAAATTTAAGAATCTGTTCCATTGTTAATTGGTCTTGTTGCTCTGGGACCTGTGGTGAGGCAGCACATCATGACAGCAATATGTATTGGAGAAAAGCTGTTTACCTCATGGTCAGCACATAACATAGGAGAGAAGGCAAAGGTGCCGGGTCCCCATGGTCCCCTTCAAGGGTAGTCCTCACTAGCTAGAAATCCCCCTCTAAAACCCATTCTTAAACTTTCCACCACCTGCCAGTAGTGCTACCCTAAGCCCAGGTATTTAACATATGGGAGCTTGGGAAATTTTCCCTATCCAACAATAGCACTATGTAATCTTGGAACAAATGAGATAAAGAATTAAAGAAATATTCTAAAATACCACCAGAGAAAAATGGCACTGGAAGTTTCTCACTCATCAAAAACTATATGGCATGTAAATAGATTAAATTCTTAATAACAAAATTTTTAATTTTTATTATTTTGTATTTGATGAATATATGTTAATTGTGCATATTAAGTGATTCAATGTTATATTTCAAAACATGATTATAGTATATGCCAAAAATCCAACTGCCTTTTTTGCACCTACACCCACAACATTTTCCACTTCTAGAAATCACTCTTCCATATTCAGATAGATTTTTCTGAGTTCTCCCATGTTAGAGAACAGGTGATGCTTCTCTTTCTAAGATGTTCCATATGTTTCCTGCAAATGACAGGATTACAGTTTTATTCATTGTTGAAAACTACTGCACTACGTTTATACACAAAAATTCCTCGCTAGTCTCTGATGGCCTTTTGGCTGATGGTGTATCACAGCTATTTTAAATACTGCCTCAGCAATATGCAGGTATGTCATTGTGATGCTGATTTCATTTCTTTTGGATATACGCCCAAGAATGGAATAGGTGAATCATATGATGGCAGGCTATTTTTAGCTTTTTTTATGTTTTATTAGTGCACATTAGTAATAAACATTAATGATGTGTGTTTTGGTGTACTAGAACCTGTATATGTCATAATTTGATTATTTTAATTCCCAGTTCCCCTCTCTTCTTATTCCCCCTCCACAACCTCTTTTCCCATTGCTGTATGTACGTATGTATTCATTTTTAATTGATCGCATAAAAAACATGTAATATGTAACTTTCTGAGACTGGCTTGTTTTGCTTCAGGTAATCTCCAGTCCCATGCATTTACCTAGATGTGACATGTTCTGTTCTTGTCTATGGCTGAATAATGTGCAACTGATGATTGGCATGTAGGCTGTTCCCACAGAGTAGCTGTTCTGAACTGTACTGCTTTAGACATGAGTATGCATAAATAACTATAGTATTCTGTCTTTAATTCCTTTGAGAATATACCAAGGTACAGCTAGCTCAAACAATGTTTCTCTTTAGTTTTTTGAGGAATATCCATACTGTTTTTCACAACAGTTGTAGTAGTTAGTGTTCACCAGAATATGAGGATTCATTTGCTCCATATCCTTGTCAGCATTCACTGATTTTTATGTAATTGATGGACAGACATTCTGACTGAGATAAGATGAAATCTCAGTATCATTTTGATATCTACTTCCCTGATGGTTAAGAGTGTTGAACAGTTTTTCATGTGCTTACTGTCCATTTGTAATGTTTCAGAAACATCAAGTCAATTTATTTGTCTATTTCCTGATTGGCTTATTTGATTTTTCTGAAGTTGATTTCATTTGAGTTCCTTATATATTCTAGGTATTAATACTTTATAAGAAGTCTAACTAGGAAGGATTGATGCTATTCCATACATTGCTTCTTCACTGTGTTGGCTGGTTCCTTACCCATACAGAAACTTTTTAATTTGTAGTAGTTCCATTATTGTGCTGTTTGGGATGTATTCAACAAATCTTTTCCTGTGCATATGTCTTCAATTTTTTTCTTATATTTTCTTCCAGGTGTTTCAAGTTTATGGTCTTAAGAGGTTTCTTGGGGATTTTTTGTTTTTGTTTTTTGCTTTTTGGTTTTTGTTTGTTTTGTTTTGTTTTTAAGACAAAAACTCACAATGTAGTCCATCCTAACATTCAAATCACTATGTAGCACAGGCTGGCCTTGAACTTGTGCCAGTGCTCCTGCCCTACCCTCCTGAGTGCTGGGATTATGACATCTGCCACCACTCCTGGCTAAATTTCTTGTCTCATATCTCACTATTTGGTCCATTTCAGTTTTTAGTAGAGGATGAGAAATAGGGATCTCATTTCAATATTTGCATGTGAATATCTAGCTTTTCCAAAACCAATTCTTAAAAACGCTATATTTTCCCCAGCATATTTCTATGCCTCTTTGTCAAAAATCAGATGACTATAGGTTCATATTATCATTTATATGTAAAAAACCTCCCCCAAGGCCTCACATGCTTATAGATGGTGCTTCTGAGATGTGATTGGATCATGGGAGTATGATATTCCTCAGTGGATTCGTCCACTGATGAGTTTGTAGATGAATGTGATTTGGGAGATGAAGCCTGGTTGAAAGAACTGGATCGCTAGGTGCTGGCCTGAGTCCTCCTTTGAGATCTCCTCTGACTGTCTCTCAGTCTCTACCTGCCTTTCTGTCTCTGTCTGTCTGTCTGTCTCTGTCACTATTTATCTATCTCTGTCACTGTCTCTCTCTTTGTCTCTCTTTCTCTCTCTTTCTCTCTCTGTCTTTCTCTGTCTCTCTCTCTCCCTTCTGCCTGCCATGCCATAGACTGTGTCTCTCTGTGATCAATGCCCTTCTGTCATGCTGCACTGCCTTGGAGCTAGAATGTTATGGACTGAAACCTCTACAGTCAGCCAAAATAAACCTTTCCCCCTTTAACTTGTGGATATTAGGTATTGTGTCTCAGCAACAAGAAAGTAACTAAGAGTTTGGTACCAGAGAAGTGGGATCAGAGCCATGATATTATTTGACTATGTGGTTTGGAAGATTTTGTGGGAGAACTCTGGAAAGGTTTAGAAGTGTTGACTGAAGAAACAACTCTAGAATGTTGTCTCACAAATAAACAGGCCAACAAGATAGAAACAAGGAAATACTAGATTTAAAGACTGGATTTAAACTATATCATTGAACAAATGTCTTATTAGGTATCCACACAGTGTTTTGTGGAAGAATAGAATAATAATTATCTCAGAAGCATAGAATCCTTTTTTCAAAAATAAGTCATATTAGGCCATAAATTATGCTTAAGTAAATTAGAATTAAAATAATCCCCTGAACACTAGTGGATCAAGGTGGAATAAAAGTAGAAAGATCAAAAGAAACCACACAAAGATATGGAATGTAAGTAATATAGTCTTGAGTAATAAACAGTTCACAGAAAAAATGAGGTAAGGAATTAAAAAGACCCTGGAATCAAATGATGATGAAAGCCTAGAAAAAGTTAATGAAGTGTAACATAAAAAAGCATTTCTGAGAAGTTTACATTTGTGAATGTTCACTTTAAAAGAATAAAATCATTCCAAATAAATCCCTAAATATGCACCTGAAAGTACTAGAAAACAAGAACAATACAAATCTGAAATAAGGAATAAAATTATAAAGATTAGAGATTAAATTGACTAAAGAATTACAAAGGACCAGTGAATTAAAGAATTAATTATTTGAAAAACTAAAAAGATGGATAAACCCTTACCCAAATTTACCAAAGGAAGACCAACATGGATGAATTTTTTTAAGGTGAAATAACAGCAGACACTAAAATGTAGAGAATAAAGACTGGGTTCAGGATGTTTCCAGGTAGCAGAAAATTTATCACTTTTTGTTCATGTCCTGAAACTTTGTGGGAGACTGAAATTAAAGGTGGTAAACTAATCTTGTGTAGAAAATTTCAAGACTCCCAATGTTCAGTATGTATCATGAATACTATCTGCTATCATAATGAGATTTACACTGAGACATAGGAACAAATCCTTCATTTAAAAAGTTTTAGTTTCACTCAAAGAAAGTAAGTGCAAATTTGATACGAGCAAGCTTACCGAAAAGATTAAAAGGAAGCCAGAACTTTACATGAGAACAATAGGAAGGATGCCTTGAGGGCATCCTAAGAATCATCAAGACCCTGCCTTTGTGGGCTCAAAGTTACAAAAGTGAAAGACAGTGCTTTCAAAAGAGAGCCATCCTGAACCAAACTCACTCAGGGATAGCTAGGAAAGAGTTGGAGCTCAACCATCTAGGCATTCAGTGGCTTCTGCAGCTATGAGTCAAGGAGGCACTGACATCATGAGCTACTTTTCACCTTGGTCATGTGCCATGGTGTCATGCATGTGGTTCCAGTTTTACAGCCATGTATCATGCAAGAACTATCAGAAAAGCTTTGACCTTAATTTCAGAAGAAAGCCTGGGAGGACTATAATAATACCAAAACTACAATGAAGACAATACACAAGTGGAGATGCCAAGAATATGAAACATCAGCCACTTTGTTCGAAGTGTTTAACCTTATTTTTTATTTTTATGAAGGCTCACAGTTAAGAGTTTGCATTGAGTCACAGAGAAGACTTTGCCAATGGGCTTTTCACCAATGCTAGAGCCATAAAGACATCAGCAACTCTTGGAGATGGAATAAATCCATTTTGACTAAGAAGATGCCCATGAATCTTTTCAGGAACAGGGAAGGCTTGTAATTCAGACCAAAAATGCCTTCCAGGGTTGGACATGGTGGTGCATGCCTGTGGTCCTAGCACTCAGGAGGTTGAGGCAAGAGGATTGTTGCAAGTTTGAAGGCAGGCTGGGCTACAAAATTAGTTCAAGTCAGCCTGAACTGCATAGCGAGGCCTTATTTCAAAGAGATTTTTTTTTACGA